AACCGCAACGCCAGCTAGACTCAGCAATGCACCTCTTCTCTTCTTTCCATGCTAGTAGTAAGAGGCTAGGATTCGGAGCCAATACCGGTCTAGTCAACATAGTCAAGACCGAGAATCGGCAGAGCGGAAGAGCGGCCAGCTCGGGCCCTGACACTGACAGTGAGGGGATCATCCACTTTGCAGGATTTGGCGGGAGAGGGCTTGATCGAAGTGATCCAACCCAGCACGGACACGTGTCCGACGGCTGTGGTGCCTGTACGTCGTCGACTCGGACTCGTCGAAACCCGGCGCTGAGACCCGCGGGCCGGCCGCCTAGCTGTGGCGGCCGCCAGGTCGTATCAAGCTGTGCTGACTCCGCGGCTCGGCGGCTGTAGACTGTCTCGGTAATTTACACATGCCAGATCGACTGCATTCCAGCCCGGCGATATGAGTCGTGTATAGAGATTGTACCGTGATTCTCGCACCGTCTGTAAGTGATCTCAGAGGCTACCTTGCACAAAATCCTGTTATATAGCGCTCATGGTGACAACCATACACGGTCTTCTTTGCCATCTTCGTCTTTAAGGCTTTGCCGATCTCTGACCGTTGTTTCTTCGTAAACTTATAACCACTGAGTTTATATGGTCAGTAGAGTTGCACAGCGCCTGGCGCGACCGGACTAATAGCTTACAAAGCTCATTCAGAGTCACGTCGTCATGTCGATGTGGACAGATGGTTGCTCAAACGTTGATGAGCCGCAATGCATGTGCTGCTGATCGGCCCAATCTCGGGCCCTCCTAGGTCGGCGCAACTTCAGTTGACCGGCATCTTATCCTAATGCATAGCCTGTCAATGTGCGGGTTCTCAGGGGTCACGGCACGGCGAGGCTTATCGGTGCTTCTGGACGCAACATTGATTGGAAGTACGAGCATGAAACAGACCGGTTGGCAGACACATTAGGCAACAAAATAAGCAGTGCAGTCACTCAGACTGGGGGCGACGACGCAATTTCTCAACTGTTCAAAAGGGCGTTCAGTTGCCTCGTTGGACCGCGTCGCTGATAATCCAGCACTTTGAAACGTGGCAAATGCAGGCCCTGGTCCGGCTTCCGTATGGCGTCATATGCTACGTCCTCAGAGCTGGACTTTTCTCTTGATGTGGCAGATGTACCTCCAAGAATTGTAACCCCCGACCACCGACGGCAACAGCGTAGGACCCCCTGCACAAAGATTTGACAGCTTCAAGGGGCTTTCGCTTGATCTACAAGGGACACGAAAAAGCGGGATGCAAGCCCTTGCGTACAGAGTGCAGATGGGAAGCGATGGTACTGGAGCCTTGAGTGCCGAGTTTGTGGCTGTGACTGCACCTACATTTCTCTGCTCTTATTTTTTTGATCTTGATCAAGTCGATTCTTTTTTTCTGATGTTACCCTCGTACGTTTCCTCACGCATTCCCCCTTTACCCCGTCCAACCGCAACATGAAAGGTAGCAGACTTTGGCCTGCCCCAATACGTGGGGAATCTAGAAGCATCAGGCATTGAACGCGCGAGCTTTGCTTTCAAGTATGTTGAGGGGGGGACCGAGCGATACCATCGTTCTAGCAAGCAAACGCATGCTTCGGTAAACGTTGCTCCGACCGGACTGCCGCTTCACACACGGTTCAACCGGACACTGCGACGGATTCCACTCAACTCTGAGACGTAGCGTATGCATCCAGGAGAATCTACAATTTTGTTGCTTCCTCTATGGCTCCTCACCTGGCAGTTCGTTCAACTGTAAGCGCGGCCGCTTCCGGCACGTCCGTCACGCACGCAGACACCTCTACAAGTTGACCGTCCGAATAGCCGTCAGTAGGATTGCCGTCCACAGAAGAGCCGTGCGGACCATGGCCGTTTGACAATGAAGGTGACGGGGAAATCCCGGGCGCTGCTCCCGGGGGGTACGTGGCAGGGCGCTTTTGGGGGGAGGAACGTGCTGCCTCGAGCCGCCAGCAGCGCAGACGCTGGTCGAGCCCGGTCGAGAAGGCGTACGAGCCGTCGGTCCAGATATCTGCACGACCAAGAGCGTGGTCTTGCTTGAGGGCAGTTAAGGGCGTAATAACAATCCGCTGGTGCTTCGCGAAGGCCTTGATACCAAGTGCTACGCCCGGAAAGACCAGCTTTTCAATATTGAACTGTGGTTACGCATCAAAGGGGTGGAAGGCTAGAGAAGGGGGCGTGGGTGTCTGCAATCACAGGAGAGAGCGACCCGAAGGCGCACGAACGCAATCTGGCGGTCGCCGGGAACATTACATCAGCAGAGTATCGCAATAGATGCCCCTGAGTGGGCGCTCGGACGCCGCGTGAGACCAAGCTTCATTTGCATCAGTTGCCGGTCTGGCCTACTTGCAAACGGCCTGACAACCCGAGATCATGAAAATCCACTTGACTTTGGGTCGTGAAGAACGGTTGACATCAAAGGGGACGTTTGAATAGGTAAGCTGAAGAGCCTTTACCCGCGGAGCGTCTCAGAACAACGAAGAAAATGCACCCACCTTTTACCGCGGACGAGTGCGCCAGTGGCAGCGACCGTTTGCCATCAAGCCGCACCTCAACCGCCCCGTGCGCATTCACACCGACCCAAAAATAAACGGTGTGGATTGCTTGGTCGTCGCCTCCGCTCACAGCAACGTACCGCCCAGAACCTCTGACGTCAGCAGGGGCGTCGCTCACGTCAGCACTGACAGCCGCCACGCTAAGCCCGTTCACACCGGACTGGTGCGCCCCATCTACGATCAGCACGGGTGCCAAGCTCGCGACTGTGTGAATGGGCGCCGAACTCTGGACTTCTGGACCGTCAGCACCCCCCTTGTCCGCACCGTTTCTCAACCCCCCCGGAAGAGAGGGACTCTTCAAACCCTCACGGGCCTCTCTGCTGGAACTCGTAACTGGGGCTTCAGGTGTCGGGGCCAACTCTAGCGCACTCTCCCCGTTTCCGGGGGTCCGGTGGCCTGCTTCGTTGCCCCCAACACAACCCCCTTCTGCGTCTTCTAACCTTTCCGGCAGCTCGCCGGAATCCTCGCCGAACCCGTCTGTAATTTTCCGCTCCCCTCCCTCTTGACACAGCGACTCCTCGGCTAGCCCATTTACAGCCTCCTCACCATCAACAGTGTCAAACTCTCCTCCCGTCTCGCTCTCACCCAAGCCCAACTCCAAGCCGTCAATTGTACCATCTGTTCTTCCCCCCAAAGCAGATGCCGCCGCTTTCGCCATCTTAGTCTTCCGGCGTTTCGACATCCGCGGCCCCGTCAAGCGCCGCACGCCACCGCCCCCCGCGCTGCCCCTCCCCGTGGGCGGCCTGGAATTACCCCCCCGAACCGAAACCGCCGCGACACGCTCCTGCCACGTGGAGCAGAACGACTGGACGGGCTCGGAAACGTCCCAAAACGCGAGGCTGCCGTCCGTTGCTCCGCTGACGACGAGGATAGCTTCCTCGGACCGTGTGAAGAGCTTCCAGATTTTCGTCTTCCTATCATTTCCGCTCTGAGGACCGTTCGATAAAGGGTCTGAGGGGAAGCCTAGCGCGTCTTTTGAGGAGTTCAAAACTGTCGACTGCGCCGGGTACTTGTCGGCAGTGCTCTGGAGGAGGGTTGACGTGGGGTGAGAAACCCAGTCCAGGCTGAGAACCGGGCACTTGTGATGTTCCAACCGGGCGAGCAAGTGCCAGGTTCTGGAGGCCGGGTGAAACGCCCGGAGCACGAGCCGGGAGTCCGCGCTGGCCGTCACCACGAAACACGTCATGCTGCCGTCAGCGAAGCTCCCGGTGGAGAACGCGGTCACTGCTAAGTACCGCTGGTCGTCCTTCTCCGCCCACTTTCTCCGCGGCCCCGCTTTCGAGTTCGAAGCTTTCGGTGTCGAGGGAGGGTTGGCGGAACCGTTCCGGTCTGGTAACGAGTTCACTTCTACGGACCCTTGGGAGGCGTCCGGAGAAGGGAGTCCGGTTTTGGACGCACGGGAGCTGTCCGATGACGGCGATGCGGTCCTGAGTGCAAGGAGGCCGTCCGATGACGGCACTGCGGGTACGGACACAGGCGACGCGTCCGCAGAAGGCACTGTGTTCTCGGGCGAAGAGGAGGGCGTAGACGACGGCGGTTCGGTCTCCGGACCAGAAGAAACGCCCCGCACTTGCACTCCGGTTTCGGACGCTTCCAGCGCTCGGGTGTTGGAAGTGTTCGCCGTCCGAACCCGGTTTTCGACCGCTTCTCGGCTCTCGTCGTGGGTACTCAGCCACCGCCAAGAGTGCGCCCACCTTTCACCACTCCGGTTAATGCCCCCGGCATCATCCCCTTGGCTCTCTGAAGGCCCTGTTTTGTCATTGTCCGCCGTCCCCAATTTCACACCTCTTTCGCCGCGGTCTCTTACAGGGCCTCCCACGTCCGACCCCTCGCATAAACCGTTCCCAGCGAGTCCGCCCGAAACAGGGCCTTTTGCAGAAGGCCCTGTTTCCGGCTCCCATGCATGCAGCCAAGCTGTCAGCACTTCCTTCGCGCCAGCGGTAAACACCACACAGGGCCCCGGGGGATCCCCCTGGTCGCCTGACTCTTCTCCGCCCAGCCTAGATGCGCCGCTGCTTGTGGGCGGTGAACGACGATTGGCTTTCGGGGTCTGAAGGGTTTTGTTTCTAGGGGCGACGACGGCGCAGGTCCGGATGGCTGCGCCTCGGACGTGTTCGCCGAGGACAGCTGACGAGAGGCTCCGACGCCCGTTGGTGTCCAAGAACCTGGGCGGCAAGAGAAAGCGGTTCGATGTTGGATCGAGTATGCTGAAAAGTTAAGACCTTTTGTTATGCGATGCTCAAGACGCCTCCCCGAAGAATAGGGTTTTAAAGCTGTGTGCACCTGAGTTGAGCCTTTATATGTTCGTGGGCTTGCTGCTGTAAGTTGAATCTGCAGGATGGGAGCTGCTGGGCAGTGATTTTAGCGTTCGCTTTTGTTGATCTTTGGAGGGTTAGCGGAACCGATGCTGAAGCCCAAAGTGTCGTTTGAAATCCTTCAACCTCCGTCTGATTCGTCAATGGGCCAATACTCAGGAATGATAAGGCAGAGACCCTTTTCCTACATTGTTGCGGCATAAAGAACAGTAAGAGGACAAATGGAGAATTCCTAAACAGACACAACCAACTCAAACTCCCGCAAACAGCAAAGGTCAACGTACCTGGTGATTCGGACCGTCCCATCTTCTCCCCCGGTCACCACGCAGCGGCCCGGGCCCCTTGGACCGGGTAGAAACTTCGCTGTGTGAAGCTCCCTTCCGTGAAACGCGGACTGCAGCCCCTTCGGGCTCGCCAAAAGCTCAGAGCCCCTCTCAACATTTGCTGCCAGGTTCAGCAATCCAGACTCAGCACCCTCGGCCGGAATTGCCTGCCGCGAAATGGAAGCCGACTCTGAAGGCCCCACGCAGCCCTTCCGAAACACGTGGATGACGTCATCCTTTACGTACGCAAAGTACGTGCTGACGTGGCGCCCTCCCGGCCGTCCGATCCAGAAGCTGTGCGGGCGGTGCCAGCCGCCGCAGGTTACCTTAATCACCTCTGACTGCTGCTCTAGGTCCCAGACAATGAACTCGGTTGCAGAAAACCCGGCCGCTAACCGTCTCGGGTTGATGACCGTCTCTGAAGACCCCCTTCTGCGCTCAGGAAGGGGCTGGCTGATCTGAGGGGTTACAGTCTGACTATATTGGGTTGGAGCTGTTTCTAGCGGGGACAATCGATGAAGCGTGCGGGTTAGTGGTGGGTCAGTTCCGAAGAAGCCGGTCCATTCTATGGAGGGGATTGCACTGACGCGCTCAACTCGCGTGCAGGTCAGCCAAACCGTGGATTCGACTGTAGTCGCCTCGTTAACCCCGTTACGGTTCGGGGTTAACGGGGCACTAATCTTTACATCGTCAGAGCTGTGCTTAGGCTCCCGAATCGACCCCGAAACGAAGCCTCCGGCTCTCTTCATCTCGACGCCGTCGCTAAGGGGTTCGCCCAAAAGCTTCGTGCTTTCCAAGGTCTCAACTTTCTCGTTCTCTACAGACATTTCGCCTCGCCCCGTCGCTGCCTCCCCCGTTTCGAGGGATGCCTCTTTCAGCTTCTGAGTCTCTAACACCCCATGGGTCACCGCCGTTGTCCCTGGTGCGAGCGGTCCGCCGTGCACTTTTCTCCCCGTCTCTAGTTCCGGCGGCGGCTGCAGCAGGTGTGTACAGATGCAGCCGTCGCGTCCGACGGTCGTGACCGTCCGGTCTCTGCTTCCGGACGTCGTTCCGGATGGAAAAGTTACCAGCGGAATGGCGGAAATGCCGTGAGCGGCTTTCAGGGCGCCCGTCAGCTGCAAGTCTAAGGCTTCGTGGTCGCCCTCGAGGGGCGGCGGAAGGGCGAAGGCGGCGAGATTCCCCTTCTGGTCTCCGCACAGCAGGTTCTGTATTGACAAAGCGACCGGGATAGTCAGACTGCAGTCCATTTCTGTTTCTTCCTGGAGGCTGCTGTCAAGGCATCAACTTCGAGGGAGCCAGGTCGGCCTATTGTGGCGTTCTCAATGGGACGAGGCAGCACAGAGCGCGAGGTCAGCTCTCAAAATACAAATATGCATTTGCAGGATGTCTGCAACGTCCTCGCGGAGAAGCAGCCTGTTGAAGGATGTGAGTGGACACTTCAGGAAAGACAACACAGGTGGCCAAACGACTACTGCCCCTCAAAGAAGGGTTGCACGCCCAGGCTGCCTGTCGAATCGTACCACAGAGCTTATTGAGCGCAGGCGACAGGCACTCAACGTTTCAGAACACTCCTCTGAAACGTTTCACAACAAGAGGCTTTGAGATACTGGAACTTCCTAAGCCCTCCCTGCGCTGAAGGCAAGCGCAAGAAGAAAAGGATTGTAAAATCCGCCCACCTCTCGTTCTTCATCCACCATCAGGCACACCACCCGGATCCAAAATGGCGACTGGCACCGGCCTAGTAGCACCGCCCCGCCCACGCCCGCCCCCGTATTCACACTTGCCACCCGCCACCAAGAGATCCCCCCGGTCGCGTTCGTTGTGAATGCGCACTCGTACCCGAGCGAGTCCGCCCAGAAGACCCCTAAAAGGTTCCGCAGCTCGTGGGCCTGCCACTCGATCCGCAGAACCTCTTGCACTTCCCTCCGCGCTGAGTCCGTTTCGGCGGTCGACGGCTGCGATGCTCCAACGCTCTCCGACTTCTGAGATACGCTTCCCAATTCTGCCGTCTCTTGTTTCTCGTCAGCAGCACCTGACGCGCTGCCAGCCTCTGACCGAATCTGCTGTCCCGTCCGAATGTCCGAAGCGTCGTGCCCTCTATTCAAGGCTGAGTGGAGGCTCCCACCGTCACGCTGAGAACTAGACCGAGCTTCGAACCCGTCCGAAAACGAATAGTAGGCAGCAGTTGCCCTGCCCCGGTAGTCCCCCCAGAGAATGTTGTGCACCTCTCCTCCGCTTGCTTCCCGTTTCCCTCTCTTACTAACAAAGGGCGACCCTTCTCCTACAAAGCCTGCGCTGTTCGTCGCCCTACAGGACCCCGTCTGCGCGCACTCCAAACCGTTGACACTGTCCGAAGTCGAGAGCGACTCGGCCCCGCCAACCTCCCCTTCGCTGGTCGCCCCGACCGTCGCTTCGGCGTTGTGCCGCTGCACGCGAACGGCAAGGGAGACGATCGGGCCCCCCGGCTCCTTCTCTGGATCGATCAGCGGATGCCACGTGTCGCGATCCCCGTCCAGGTCGACTCTGTACAGGTAGCCCCGGTTCGTCGCCACGTAGACGCAGTTGGGGCCGACGACGGCTAGACACCGTACGAACTCGCTCTTGCTGCACAGGTGAAGCGAAGTAGAATATGCCGTCTGGGTCTTTTGTAGCCGACTTCTGCACGGCTTTGATTGGACTAACACTCTCGGAGAAACCTTCCTCAAATTTGTCAACCGTTCGACTTTTCGCACAGCTGTGCAGAGTAATGATACCTTCTTTTTCTCTGCTAAGATACATAAAAAGTCGAAAAGGCCGCTGACATGCCTTGAAAAGCACATATCAAAAAGCAGTGCCTAATCAAAAGCAAAGTAGAAGGGCGCTTGGGAGTACAAGCCGCTTCCATCGGCCTATCACATACCTCCCGCTCCGGACAGCACTCGCGCCAGAACAATCCATTCTTCGCTGATTTGGCCTTGAACAACAAGTTTTCGCATCTCAACGCGGCGCAGTAAGTCAAACCCACCTCGTGATCTCTTTCTTGCCTCCCCCAGTCTTCACCAAACTTTCCGGCCCATTCCGAAGCACGAAACTTTCCTCTGCCGCACTCCCATTCTCCGTATTCCCTAATCCGCCCAAAGTGTCGCTCAGGGGGTGTAGCTTGACCGCGGAATCAGCCCCCCCCGTCACGAGCGCGCAGAGCCGCGGCTCGAAGACAACCCTCCAAATCCCGCGGCCCGTGTGGCCGCGGACGACGGACGCGAGCGCGCCGTCGGGGGTCCAGATGCGGCATGTGCAGTCCTCGCTGGCGGTCACAATGAACTGTCACAGAACGGAATACTTTTAGGTGAGGGAGCAGCGGACTCTTGAGCAACCTTAAAGTTTGTGTCGAGGGGAACTCACGCAAAAAGGCGTTCAGATGCAGCTGGTATGGTCCTCGCTGGGTGCTGATAATAAAGTGCCCCAGGTCGACCATTCGTAGTCGGGGCGAAGCCTATAGTGTAGCATAAAGTGGCAACGAACCTCGAGCGGGATCCTACTGGTTCTCTAGCCAAGCCCCACACAGACCACAGGCCACGTGTCAAATCCGCTGCATGTTGAAGTAACGCGAGGCGCTGGGGTACTTTATTTCCAACACTGACCAGGAAAGATTGGGGCTCTAAGCAATCTAAATGGCTCAAAGGGTCCACCGACATCGTAAGGACCCTTGTGGGGTTTCACTCAACCCGCGACTTGCGGGCTAATTACAAAGAACGGTGAAGCAAGTCGAGCCAGACCTGACGACTGGATGAGATGGCATGATACGAGACTGTTGTATTTTCATAAGGGTTCAAGATTCAAACAAGCAAAAATAATGGATTCAGAAGACGCGAGTCCTGTCCAGAGGATGATCCATGTTGGACGCTGCTCGGTGGGCGATCACAAACGGCGGAAGTTCTCCATAAAAAAGGAAACAGAAATTCTTTGCAAGGGCCGTACCCGATCGTGGACGAGACAGTCCCAGATCCGTGCAGTGTGCCCATAGAGAACCGGTCCAGCAGTGGCTTCCGCTCCAGGCTGACCGGGGGCCAGGTTCCAAACCCGGGCGCTACGGTCGTCCGAAACGGACATCACTTTGGAACCATCGGGCGACCAGCAAACCCGGTGGATGGAGCCTTCGTGGCCCCGCAGAGTGTGAATCGGCTCGGCTCGTGAGGTAGAAGGGGGCGGGGATGAAGTTGACAACGCTTTTTCACACCCCTGGGTGTTGGGCGAGTCAACTTTCCAGACCAGGACCTGACATGCAATGTAGTTTGTGGTTAGCTCCGTGCTCATTCAATGATCCTGTTCTGATTGTAGGCTGACAAAGAGCCGCGTTTTCTCACTCCCTTTTCGAGAATTTCGTAGATTGGTGGGACGGTCAATTTCCCTTGCCTCTTTCCGTTGCTTGCTGACAAGGAAAAAACGAAGCTGGTGTGCTTTTCAGGTCCCCGCCTCGTAGCAATTGAAACTGGACTTTCACAAGAGCATCAGAAGAGCGGATGATCAGCCGCTGGGAGGCATTTAACAACGAGAGCCACTCTGCACATCTGAAGGTCTATCCCGAATCACAAGGTTCGGAGAAGATACCTGGGCAAAGGGCGTACAGACCTCGCTCCAGGGGGGACCATGTATCCATTAGCCGAACTCCTTAGCCCGTTTTCGATGAGATCAGCACTTGCCTGCCTGCACCTCTCTGTTACCAGTTTTGCAGATGTTTTCGAGGGGAAAACGGGGGCCCTCACCTCGTTGTAGATCGTCCCAGCCACAACCGCCAGGTCAGCGAGCGAGTCCCCATGTAGCGCCATGGAGTAGAGCAGGCACTCCGATGTGCAAGCAACGGTCCGCAGCTCAATGGATGTTCGCCAGTCCCACAGCCGGACGGAGTTGTTGCCAAGGCCCACGGCAAGCAGGCCGGTTGGGCTGGACTGCAAAGGGACAAGAGATTTTTAGTGTTGAATAGAGACAACGAGGGCCAATGTTGAGGTGTGCATTCGAACTTGAGAAAGTTGCAATCTGGATAAGCGCGCCAGCTCCGCAACTGAACGGACGCTTACGGCAGTTCGGGCAGGGTTGCATGGCAAGCAGAAAATGGATATCTCATGGACCAATCGGCAGGACAAAGCCGTAACAGCCTCCAAAAGATCAAAGCTTTGTGAATGAAGTAAGACAACAGACAGGATCCAGTTCATGAAGCGATAGATGCATGGGAGTGACAATCGCTTTTCTGTGCTCCTCCTGGTCCTCCAAAGCAGAGGGAACAACCAGCTCAATTTCAGCAAACCGTCCAACGAGTCAGCACTTCACCTCGAGCGGGAGCAGCTTAGCGTCAAACACCCAGCTTGAGAACCGCGGCAGCACCCTGAGGACGTCTACACCAGCTACTCCCCCACAATCCTGGGTGAAAGCACTCCCCCAAACCTCCAGGACTTTCACGCGCTTCTCGCCAAACACGGCCAAAAGAGCCCTGGCTGCATCTTTTCGTTGCTGGATGGACAATGGGGGGCTGAGTGTCTCTGTTCGAAGTTCTGAAAGGGGTGGTATGGCAGAGCCAGCTGTTTGAATGTGAAGGAAATCTGTGGAGGGACTTCTGGTGGCTGACTGAATGGGAAGGGAGAGGGGCGGAGCCGATGGTGAGGTGGTGTGACTGCTGCCGGTGTGAATGCCGTGCACTCTTACTCCGTCCAGGACTGACTGGTTCAGAAGGAGCTGGCTTGACAGGAGGTCGTACCACAGCAGCTGGGACCCCATCCCTGCAGTAAGATAGACACAGAGTCCATCTTGCGTGTGGAATAAAGAAGGTATTTAATGCAAGCAGAGTGCAGCAAGAAGGACGAGAAGGTTGTCCAATGAAGGTAGTAAGGAGGTGAAGAGCCTGATGCTTTGCACACGAAGGAAATGAGCTCAATGTCCAGCGTTTAATGAATGAAAGCTAGTGCGTTAGGAGAAAGCAAGGGCTGAAACAGAGCGCAAGAAAGGACTGGAGATTCCATAAAGATGTCAAACAGGAATGGCGACTGTGATCAGCATATTGAGTGATGGCTGAACGAGCACTTACCAACGAGCAGCGTAGGCCGTGTCCTCTTGTCGCACTCGAATGCAGAGGCCTCCGCCTCATTCAACCCGCCATTGTCCGATCGGTTGTGTGGACCTTCCTCCGGCCAGGACAAAAGGGCCAGAGCGGAGACATCGCCGGCATACGGTCCTTTCTTCATGATGTCCGAGTCGATTGAGTTAATTCTCATGCTGCTGGTTTGTTTGCGTTGGTCTAGCTGTCAAAACTCATCCCCTGACCTTTAAGCACGAAGACACGCCAGCAGCTTGCAGCATCTTACCAGAAAACCCTGTGACCAGCCAGCGCCTTCGCTGTTCTTCATGGAACCGCCCGTCTAGTACCAGCCATTTCTGCATCTTGGTGGCGGCTATCAGCCTCTACTTCTCAGTGAGCTGGTCACTTAGAAACGTCTACAGAGGATCTTTTGATGGCCGTCTAGTGCCAATGCGCGCCCCTTCAAGGACCAAGGTGATGACTTCGTGCGAGCTGGTCTCTCACTTTTGCTCCACAGTCTGATCTCTAGGAATTACTATTAGGCCATGAAAGTTTTCTAAGAATTCCTCCTGGAAGACCTGCCGGGACTTCGCCGTTGTTTCTGCCAGTCATGCGAAGCTCCAAAACCGAGGGGTAATTTCTCATCTGCGGCGCAAAGAACGGTCGTAGTGCCGGCTGTGTACAAAACCGGTCTGTTTCTGCAGATTTTACTTCAGATTTTGACATTCAAGAAGCTATGTTACATGTACAGCTGACCAGTGGCAGAAGC